ATGACCATGAAGTTAACAAGAACTTTATTGGTCTTATTGAAAGAATCTGATAATTCTCCCACTCCTTTTCCAGGAGGATACTAGCTGGCTGCCTTCCCACGGTAGTGAGAGAGACTGACCCCTTTTCCAACTTTGTCTGAGTCTTCCCAGCAAAACAAGCTACACACCTGTCAAGATGGTGGCATAGCTGAGCCTTTCATCAATCCTTAAAATGCTGACCAATGCACAAAGGAATGGCCTCCTGCTACCTGTTGCCAGGCCACAGACTACTTAGATCTGCAAGCAGAGCTGGACACAATCTGCAGAGGCGTGTGGGAGAAGGAAAGTGAATGGGCACTCCATGTGATATGTCCATCTCATACCAGTGGGCTTTTTACATCACCCTCTAAAGACAAAGAGGGGAGGGGCTTGTTGAAAGTCAAGACACAGCTTTGGTTGATAGTGCGTGCCAGGACTGAGGTATACACTGTGCTTGGCCATCCTGAAGCTATTCTCTCCTCTGTTAGGAAATGTTGTCTCACACACACACATACACACAAGCCTCAGTGTTGCTTGATTACAAGAACTCACTATTAAATAGACCCAAAAGGAATTGCCAAACTCACTGGTGATTTTAAAACTTCCCAGGGGAAGGTTTCTCGGTATTGGCATTTTAATATTTTACTTTACATAACAGCTTAAGAAAATAGTTTCTATTTGCATAGCATTTTATAGTCTATAAAGTACATTCATTTTCATTAGCCTCATATAACCATCATCACAACTCTTGAGGTACAAATTGTTATTACTGCTGTTATTATTCTCATTTTTAAGATGTAAAAAAATGGTGCTAACAGACACTAAGGTATTTGCCAACACCCCTGACTTTGGTGCTAAGATTGGAACACAAACAAATCTTCTGGCCAAAGTCCTGCAATTTTTTCTAATCTCTCTTGACATTACTCTCATCCCTTGGCCAACAGCTTATTGTAGATAGGAATTACATCTTCTGTGAATTTGTTACAGAGCCCAGTATCTATATAAAATGCAAAATATATAAAGATTTTAATACTGAGCTTGTGGTAAACTTCTACAAAATAACAATAGATGGGACATCTTAGGAGCAGGCCAGACACTCTCCCAGGGCTCCCACTTTAGAATTTCTGAACATCAAAGTTAAACAATATTAAAGACAATCATGTCTGTTTCTGCTATTACCTTCCCATTATTTGCCCACATCATTGTAATTATAATGAATCCACATTTTTCTTGTGTTTGCATTACACGTGTATTCGTGTCATTTTTATTGGCCACATATTATTCCATTATATTTATGCACCATAATTTACCAATCCATTTCTCCATTTGGGGCTTTTAAGTTATTTTTCCATTTTTCCCTTAAAACAGAGTTATAAGGTACCGGTTCAGGAAGTCTTTCCCCTGTGTGTCCCTGGCTGTGTCTTCTGACAAGCTTAGTTAGCCAAACAGGAAGAATTCTTGTTTGTACCTAAGCTACTTATTGCACATTAAAGCTTCTCCACGCTCAGGCCAACTGAAGCAGAAGGCCTCTGGGAGTACGAGTGAGGAATCTCCACTTTAACAAGCTTCCTATGATTTTACACACCCTAAAGTTTGAAAACCACAAGTTATTTACGTGAACTTAGATCAAGTTTGATTCTGTAGCTTTAGTACTTTTCATTTGACTACCTGAATCTAGGACAATTCTCTTGTCCTCGGGTGCTGAGTAGACAAGGACAAGGCAGGGTGACTTGGTGAGGAGTTGAAGATAAGGTTTCCTCTCAGCCTGAAGAGGAGGCCACCCTTTGGTTCTTTACTTGGAGAATGAGTGGGAGTTCAGCAAGGGGAAGCCTTTTGTTTGAGAATGTCTCTGGCACTTTCTCTAACAAGCAATTACCAACCACTGCATAAACTCTGTTATAAAAACTCAGACCACCAACAGAAAGGAAACATTAAGCACTATTTTTGCAATTTACCAGTGTGTGTGTGTGTGTGTGTGTGTGTGTGTGTGTGTGTGTTACTAAATATAAAGGGTCCACAAAAATGGTAGATGAGATTTTTCCCAAGATAGTCCCCAGAAGAACCCTAAAGAATGTGTCTGATTTTTTTTTCACCCCTCTTCAGGCGTCAGAGGCCCAGATTGAGGTGCAATGATGAGAGGATGGGGTGGTCCACTCTGATGTCTATCTTGAGGGCTAGTATGTCCTAACTCTGACTACTAATAATTATAATAGTTAAAATACATTGAGTATTTATTGTATGCCAGATATTATACAAAGGAGGTTACATACATGGTCTCATTTAATCTTCAAAAACAACCTTGTGAAACAGGCACTATTATTATCCCTGTTTTTCAGGTGAAGACATTCAGACTCAGGCTTATAAATAACTTAGGGTCACACTGCTACAAAGTGTTGGTGAAGGAGGTTGAAACTGTGGTCTATCTTAACCATTATCCTGTTACATCTATTCAGAAATCTGTCTTTCATGAATTTGCCCAACCAACCTCTTTCAGAATTTATTTACACATTCTGCCTATGTGGCCTTTGTATTCATTTTTTTAGTATGTGAGAAACAAGTTCATTGTAAAAAAAAAAATTACAAAATTTACATGAGCAAAAATAATATGAAAAGCAGCTCCCAACATGTAAAATAAACTGTTAACATTTTGCTATGTACTTTATATTTTCCTATGCATCAATAAATAATACAGTCATTTTTCATTTGATTTATCCCGAAAATCTATTTATTCATTCAACAAATTTAATAAGCAGGCATTGTTCTAGGTACTGGGAATTCAGCAGTGCATAAAATAAGCCTACCTCTTATAATAGTAGGGGAGGTTGACAATAAGCAATAATAGAATATATTACTAAATAATACGTAATGTCCAGAAATGTGGCAAGTAACATTTTTTTTTCTTTATCAAAACATTCATTCAGTTGAAATTTGGGAAGTACTCCTTTTATATTTTATTTTTAATCCTCACCCGAGGACATGCTTAGAGAGAGGAAGATAGAGAGAGAGAAAGAGATAAACATTGATCGATTGGTTGCCTCCCATACATGCCCCATCAGGGATCAAACTTGCAACCCAGGTATGTGCCCTGACCAGGAGTCAAACCAGCAAAACGGTGCACAGGATGATGCTCAACCAACTCAACTACTCCAGCTGGGCAGGAACTACTCCTTTTTTTACAAAAGTCATGCACCAAAGGGCTTTGTGGCATTTAGAGCCCAGTATTTGGAAAGGAAAAGTACAACTCTGCTCTGAAATCTGTTAGGATGCTTTCAGGTTTGTAGGTACAGATATAATAGCTTAGTCAATCAAAGGGCTGTGTTCATCACTTCGCAGTACAAGTCTAGGAAACCACAGCAATCTGAGTTCCCAATGTCAAATTTACCCTTGCTTGAGGCATGGAAAAGCAAAACAGGAAATCTAGGGTCTTTCATGGTGATGTCTCTCATGGGCTAGCTTGGTGTGTGGCAGTAGTATTAGAATGTTATACAGAAGAGCCTTTGAGTTTGGAGTCAAGCAGACCTGGATCTGAATCCCAGCTTGGCATGATCTTGTGTGGGTCAGCTAACCTCTCAGGTACTCTGTCCTGTTTTATCAAAACATATTAGTCCTCTGGCTTATTCACTCAGCATCTTATTTCAGTAAAATCTATCTTGATAAACTATTCACAGAAAGTACTAATGAACAAATGTTTCAGCCTTTCCAGTAGAACATATGAAGAACATATGAGTTCTAGAAGTAGCTTTAATGCTTTAAACCTGTTACTTTCAAAATAATGATCTTAGGTTTGGGGGAATGCCTTAAGCAGAGACCCCAGTGGTGGAGCTCCAAACTTCCCTTCCCCTCGCCTCCCACAGCAGCTCAACCTTGACTTGTTCTATTTAGCAGAGCTCCACCCAAAGCCTGTATCTGCAAAAAGTACAAAAGTACCACTGCTATGGTAGCCAGAATTCTAAAAAGTGGACCTCCATCCCAGGATTCCCTGCCTAATCCCCAGAACCTGTGAGTATAATGAGCTACTACTCCCATGATTGGGTTATGTTTTAAGGCATAGCTGACCTTTAGGGAGATGATCAAGTGGTCCTTAAAAGTACAGCACTTTCTCTGGCTGATGGCAGAAGAAAGTACAGAAATTTGAAGCAGAAGGAGAATTCAACATACAGCTTTGCTACTTTGAAGATGGAGGGAGACTAATGATTATTAAGCATCAAAGATGTGTAAGCATTTTCCCACACACCCCCATGAAGTATGACAATCCACTCCCATTTCATAGACAAAGGAAGGGGAATTCAATAGAGATTAAGAAATTTCCAAAATAGAAACAGTCTCATAGACATAGACATAGAAAACAGACCAACAGCTGTTAGAGTTTGGGGGACTGGGAGAAAAATATGAAGGGATTAAGAAAAATAAACTCATAGACACAGACAACAGTATGGTGATTACCAGAGGAAAAGGAAGATGGAGGAGATAGGAGAGGGTAAAGGGGGTATAAATGGTGACGGAAGGAGACTTGACTTTGGATGGTGAACACACAATACAATATACAGACAACATATTATAGAATTGTACACCTGAAGCCTATATACTTTTATTAATCAATATTACCCCCAATAAATTCAATAAAATTTTTTAAAATTTCCCCAACATCAAATAAGTGTAACTCAGATTCAAAAACCTGGTTCTTCTCTTATAACTAAATAATAAAAGATAACCAACTCATTAAAATACTCTTAAAAAGTCAATTAGGCAGGTCACAAACACAAAAATAGAAATGGCCAAAAAAAGACACTCAATCTCATTTAAAATTAAGTATATGCAAATTAACTGAATATTCTCTATTTATTTATTAACATAAACCTAAAAGCTTAATAATACCAAATATTTATTATGGTTTAAAACTAGACAGTTTCTTATATTAGTGATAGAAATGTGATTTAGAATATTCTTTTGGGAGCTCAATATGGCAGAACTTACCAAATTTGAAATATGCAAGCCTTTGAGTCAGAAATTTCTCAGCTATGAATTTGTCCTACAGATCCAGTCACAAAGGTATGCCCATGTGTGTGTATAGTAATGGTCACTGCAGTATTATCTGTAATAACAACAACAACAAAAAACAGAAATAACAATCTTACAATAAGGCATATAAATTATGATTCACTCATACAATAGAATATCTATATAGGGATTAAAAAAGAATGAAAATGAGGTTAATCTATATGGGCCAATATAAAAAATAACCAAGAAATATTCCATAAAAGCAGCAGAATGCAAATTAGTGTATCATATGATCTCATTTGTGCAAATAGTTTTTACACAAAAAAACATTAGATAATGATATGTGAATTTAAACTATCTGGAAGGATTCATAAGAAATTGTTCAGAATCATTTTCCTTTACAGAAAAACATTAGAAAATAAGGATGAGTATAAAGGGGAACCTATTTCCAAATAATATATTAAAATATGCATACATATATATTTAAAATATGTGCATATTTCATTTTTAAGCATATTTATATGAGTGATTGCATGGATGTGTTTGTTTACTTGTTTAGTTAGATATTAATGAATATGTCTTGGAAAAAAATAAACCATTGATAAGGAACACATGAAAGAAAAGTGGTTAGGAAAAATTCTGATAGAGCTGCTTTTTGCTGGGTAATAGGCAAAAAGATGGTGCCATTTTAATTCCCTCATCCTCTCTTTTACTATAACTTTTTAGTTATTTTCTCTTGCACCAAAAATTAAAACTAACACTTGAATTTATAACAATCTAGCTCAGATTAATGCCAACTTAATTTTAATATTATATCAAAACAGTTGTCTTTTAAATCAGAGAGGAGAAAATAAGGAGTTACAAATAAAAGTATATTTATATTTTCTATGTACCTATGTAGTTGTCTTTACCAGTGCTTTTAAGGTCTTTTCTATGGATTTGAGTTACTATCTAGTGTCCTTTTATTTCAGCCTAGAGACTCTCTTTTGTATTGTGTAGGGCACATCTGCTAGTAATAAATTCTCTCCATTTTTGTTTATCTGGGAATGTCTTTATTTCTCCTTTATTTTTGAAAGATAGTTATACTGGATATAGAATTCTTGGTTGACAATGTTTTTCTTTCAAATATGTCATCCACTTAATTGTTCCCACCAAAATAAAAAGATAATTATGTGACATGATAGAAGTATTAACTAATGCTATGGTAGTAATCATACTGCAATATATAGGTCTATAAAATCAACATATTATACACCTTAAACTTACATGATGCTATAGATCAATATCTCAATAAAAATAAAATGCAACAAACAAATAAATAAAAAATATAAATTATTCAACTCTCTTATAGCCTCCATTTTTTTCTGATGAGAAATCAACTATTTTTTATATTAAATATCTGTTGTATTAATGAGCTGCTTCTCTCTTGTTCTATTAAAGATTCTCTTTTATAACTTTCTATTTTTCTGTATCTAGGTTTGACTCTCTAAGTTTATCTTAACTGGAAGAATTTGTTGAGCTCCTTGTATATTAGATTAATCTTTTCCATCAAAATTGTCAAGTTTTGAGTCATTATTTTCTTAAATATTCTTCTGCCCTATCTTGTCTCTTCTCCTTCTGAGACTTTTCTTGTGTTTTTGTTGCTCTACCTGATGGTGTCCAACAGGTCTCCTCTTAGCTTCTGTTTATTTTCCATCATTCTTTTTTCTGCTCCTTAAACTAGATAATATCAATTGACCTATCTTAAAGTTCACTAATTCTTCCTTCTGTTTACTCAAATCTGCTTTTGAAACATTTGAATTAATGTTTTATTTTAGTTATTAAACTTTTAAACTCCATAATTTCTATTTGAGTCTTTTTTATCATTTATATCTCTTTGTTGATAATGTCTATTTGGTAAGGCATTATTCTCATTATTTCATTTAATTCTGTGCGTATATAAAATAGTTTATTTAAAATCTTTGTCTAGTAAGTTTAACACCTGGGCTTCCTTAGGAATAGTTTCTATAATTTATTTTTTTCCCCTTCTTATGGGCCTTTTTCTTTTGCATGTCTCATAATTTTTTGTTGAAATTCTATATTATATACTATACTGCTTATATTTTAAATAATAAATGTGAAAACTCAGGAAATTAGATTCTCTCCCCTCCCCAGAATTTTTGTTGTTGCTATTCATTGCTATTGTTGTTATCTGTTTGTTTGGTGACTTTTCTGAACTAATTCTATATTTTATGTTGCATGTGGCCACTAAACTCTCTTCTTGGTTAGTTTTGTAGTCAGCTAATTATTAAAAAGACATTTCTTATATGCCTGGAACCAGTAAGTCTCCTAAGTATTAGCCAAGGGCTCTGTGGGCCTCAGTCAGGAAGTTTATAACTCTGTCTTATCCTCACTTCTCACTCATACAGAGCCTCAAAGTTCGTCAAAAATGAGAGCTCAACTTTTTCCTGAGAATGTGCAGAGCCCTGGGCATGTACACAACCTTTTGAATGAACATGCCTTCTAGAATTACAAGAATATGTTGAAGTTATTTAAATCCCTATAAGGACCTCTTATTCTTCATATTTATCTTTTAAGCTTTTGGGGTAGCCTTTTGTTTGTTCCAACTGTTATCCAGTGCCTTGGGTAGCTGAAATGTTCAACAGTTGCCTCTCATTGTTTTTAACAAATACCCCTAGGGAAAAAGCTGTTCACACCTGGCAAGTTTCCTAGAGTCTTCCAGGGAACCAGCATATTGGTTAAATAATGACTCTTATCAATTTATATATTGAGGAAAGAGTACAGAAACAAGATGGAGTCACCATAGCCAAACTAACAAAATCACTTAAATCAGAATGGGCTGAAACTTGAAGAAGATTTTTTTCTTTTTTACTTTAACTTGCCTGAGGACTTAAACTTTTGAAACTTTCAGTTATTCATCAATGGCTGAAGATATATAAATCTTATAGATAACCCTCTGAAGAACTTAGGAAAGAATGTCCATGTGCCCAGATCACTTGACATTCATTATACAGACCACTTGACTTCTGGACGATAACCATCTTGGCCCAATTCAGAAGCTAAGGTGTAGGACTGATTCTTCTCAAAATCATAAAAACTCTCAACATTTCCTTTACCTTTGTGCCTGGTAGTGTTTCCAGATTTTCAAATTACTAAAACCCTTAAAAAAAACTTTTCGTTAATTTTAGTAAAGGCTTCTGATTTATTTATGCTCAGTTAACAATGCAAATATAGTAAACTTAAAATCACAAATACAAAATGAATAAATTGTTTTAAATAAAACTCAAAATTTTACAGCTTAGAGAAAACCTTTCCAAATTGTTCAGAAATGTAATAAGAAAAATAGATATTTTTCCATATATATTTAGAATGTGAAATGAGGCCTCCAAAGGAAGGCAGCCTTAAGGGCTCCTATGTTATAAAATAGCACTGATGTCCATTATTTATAGAAATTACTTTTTTAAATAGAGGCTATATCATTTTACATATTAAGTTATTTAGCCAACTTTCAGCTTTCTAAGATAAATATAGCATAAATACAACAATGATAACAATAGTTGCAGTTATTGAGAAACTACTTTCCCTGTGTCTTGCAAGTTTTGTCCTTTGATCTTTCCAGGGTCGTTATCTCCATTTTGCAGATGAGGACACTTGACAGGGTGAGGCAGCTAGTTTAAGGCCACACAACAGGGTGGAGGCTGACACCCAAGGCACACTGAGACCCATTCTCTTAACTTATAAAAGGATATGTGATATTTTGTGACATTTATGCTTCTCCAAGGGTGTTTTGTAGAGGTCATTTTAAAGTCATTTGTCTTAATTGATTAAAAAAAATGGCGGCGGAGTGAATTGAAACTACACAGACCATCTCCCAGGACCAAATTGGATTTACAACAAAAATAAAGACAAATCGTAAGGAAGGGGCAACCGAAAGGCAGCCTGGAGGACCACATAACCAGGGACACTGACTCAATTCTGGTAGGCTTGTGAGGACACGAGAGGGGGCCAGGAGCCCACAGTCCGCAGCAGCCTGGGCTGGGACCAGCAGACTCGGCTAGGACCAGGGGACGCGGCTAGAAGCTGCCGCCGCCTTGGCTGCATCCGGCAACTGCAGCTGAGTCCTGTGAACTCGGCTGTGTGCTACTTCCTTGGCTGGTGCCGTAGACTCAGCCACCCTTAGCTGGGAGCAGTGCCCTCGGGTTAAAAGTCCCAGGCAGCTCCACAATGCAGAGTCTGGACAGAGGCTAAATTGGCAGCAGCTACTCACCTTGGGCTCCAGCACAGGGAAGGCAGACTGGACTGGAACTGTGTGGGGACACTCGGGATTTGGAGGGTGCTCAGAGCTTTTGCTGAGTGCAGCCACGCAGGACTGTGGCTCCTTCCCAGGGCCCTGGGGAGAGGCAGCAGCCCCTCCCTCAGAGATTCAACCCCACCTGGTGGACATTGAAATGCTAATTGAGGCCTATTACCAACCAGCATCTGCCAAACCCTCGGAAAATCCTCTTACACTGAGCACCTGAGGGAGTTTTTCAGGCAACTAAGAAACCAAAGTTCTTCAGGTGATCTCTACTAATAGCCTCCAGGCAAAAATAAAACTAGAGGATAACTGTACCATCCCTGGGCTACCAACTATAACCAGGAAACTTAAGACTTGACAGTGGTATTTAAAGTGGGTCCTCCCTGCCTCATCCAAACCCAGGAGAGGAAGCCACAAACAGCAGAACACCAACACCCACAGGGAAAATTTGCCAGACTCTAAAGCCCACTGTAATAGCCAAAATGGTGAAACACAGAAACAAAAGCCAAATGAAATAAAAAGAGACCTCTACCGAAGAAGAGATAAATGAGGTGCAGTTAAGCAAGTTAACAGAACAAGAATTCAGAGCCATGAACTTGAGGAAGCTCAACAGCATGTGTAAGGACATAGAGATGCTGAAAATAAGCCAACTGGAAATTAAAAACCACCAAGAAAAGATTAAAAATGACATATCAGAAATGAAAAACACATTGGAAGGTCTAAAAAGCAGAGTAGAGGAAGCTGAGGACCGAATCAGTGAATTAGAAGACAGGTAGAAAAAATCAACCAATCAGAAAAACAAAAGGAAAAAAGGATTTAAAAACAGGAAGACAGCTTAAGAGAACTGTGGGACAACTGAAAACGTAATAATATTCGTATCATAGGAGTCCCCGAAGAAGAAGAAAATGAGCAAGGGTAAGAGAATATATTCAAAAAAGGGTGACAGAAAACTTCCCTAATTTGGTGAAGGAAGAAGGCATTCACGTTCAAGAAGCACAGAGAGACCCAAGTAAGAAGAACCCAAACAGGCCCACACCAAGACACATAGTAATTAAAATGCCACAAATTAAAGACAAAGAGAGAATCCTAAAAGCAGCAAGAGATAAGCAACAGGTTACCTACAAAGGAAACCCCATAAGGCTCTCAGCTGACTTCTCACAAGAAACACTACAGGCCAGAAGGGAATGGCATGAAGTAATCAAGGTCATGAAAAACAAGGATCTGAATCCAAGACTACTCTACCCAGCAAGGCTATCATTTAAAATAGAAGGTCAAATAAAGAGCTTCCCAGACAAAAAAAAAAAAAAAAAAAAAAGGCTAAAGGAATACATGACCACCAAACAAGCACTGCAAGAAATGTTAAAAGGACAGCTGTAATTAGCAGGAGAAATGGGAGGAAAAACAGAACCACACTAAACAAAAATGGCAATAAATAAGTACATATCAATAATCACCTTGATTGTAAATGGGTTGAATGCTCCCATAAAAAGACACAGAGTAGCTGAATGGATAAGAAAGCATGACTCATTTATATGTTATTTACAAGAGACCCACCTCACAACAAAAGACTCACATAAATTGAAAGTGAAGGGATGGAAAAAAAATCTTCCAAGCAAATGGAAAGGGAAAAAAAGCTGGGGTAGCAATACTCATATCTGATAAAATAGATTTCAAAATGAAGGCCATAACTAGAGACAAAGAAGACCACTACATAATATTAAAAGAATCTATCCAACAGGAAGATATAACCTTGATGAACATATATGTACCCAATATAAAAGCACCAAAATACATTAAAAATCTTCTGGAGGACTTCAAAGGAGAAATCGATAGCAATACAATCATAGCAGGGGACTTCAACACCCCACTGACATCACTGGATAGATCCTCTAGACAAAAAATTAGCAAGGAAACAGAGACTCTAAATGAAGCACTAGACCAAATGGATTTAATAGATATATACAGAGAATTACACCCCAAAACTACAGAATACACATTCTTCACAAGTGCACATGGGACATTCTCAAAGACAGACCACATGTTAAAGCACAAACTAAATCTCTACAAGTTCAAGCAGACTGAAATCATATCAAGCATTTTCTCAGATCATAATGGCATGAAACTAGAAATCAATTGCAAGAAGAACATACAAAGACATTTGAACACATGGAAACTAAATAGCATGTTATGAAACAATGAATGGGTCACTGAGGAGATCAAGGAAGAAATTAAAACCTTCCTGGAAATCAATGAAAATGAAGACACAACAACACAAAATCTATGGGATGCAGCGAAAGCAGTTCTGAGAGGGAAGTTCATAGCACTACAGGCCTACCTCAAAAAAACAAGAAAAATCTCTAATAGACTATCTGACCTCACAACTTAAAGAACTAGAGAGCAAACAAAAAGAAAACCCCAGAGCAAGTAGAAGGAAGAAAATAGTAAAGATCAGAGCAGAAATAAATGACATAGAGACCAAAAATACAATTCAAAACATCAATGAAACATAGAGCTGGTTTTTCGAAAAGAAAAACAAGATTGATGGACTCTTAGCTAGACTCACCAAGAAACAAAGAGAGAGAACCCAAATAACAAAATCAGAAATGAAAGAGGAGAAGTAACAACCAACACCCCGGAAATACAAAAGATCGTTAACAACTACTATGAACAATTATATGGCAACAAATTCGACAATCTAAGTGAAATGGACAAATTTCTAGAAACACATAGTCTCCCAAAACTGGGCCAGGAAGAGATAGAAAACTTGAACAGACCAATAACAACAGAAGAAATTGAAGAGGTAATCAAGACTCTCCCGGCAAACCAAAGCCCAGGCCCGGATGACTTCACGGGGGAGGTTTACAGAACATTCAAAGAAGAACTGACACCCATTCTCCTCAAACTATTTCAAAAAATTCAAGAAGAAGGAAGACTTCCAAACTTGTTTTATGAAGCCAGCATAATTCTAATTCCAAAACCAGAAAAAGCCACTACGAAGAAAGAAAACTACAGGCCAATATTTCTGATGAACATAGATGCCAAATCCTGAACAAAATACTAGCAAATCGGATTCAGCAATACACCAGAAAAATTATCCAGAATGACCAAGTGGGATTCATCCCAGGGATGCAAGGTTGGTACAATATTCGCAAATCAATAAACATGATACACCGCATATATAATATGAAGAATAAAAACCACATGATCATATCAATAGATGCCGAAAAAGCCTTCAACAAAATCCAGCATCCATTTCTGATAAAAACACTCAGCAATGTGGGAATAGAGGAATCATATCTAGACATCATAAAGGTCATATATAAAAGACCTACAGCCAACATTATACTCAATAGGCAAAAACTAAAAGCATTTCCCTTAAGAACAGGAACAAGGCAAAGATGCCCACTTTTGCCACTCTTATTTAACATGGTACTGAAAGTCTTAGCCACAGCAATCAGACAGGAAGAAAAACTAAAAGAGATCCAAATTGGAAAGGAGGAAGTGAAACTGTCATTATTTGCAGATAACATATTATACGTAGAAAACCCCAAAGACTCCAACAAAAATTTACTAGACTTAATAAATGAATTTGGCAAAGTAGCAGGATACAAAATTAACATCAAGAAATCGATGGCATTCTTATACACCAATGATGAACTCACAGAAAGAGAAACTAAGAAAACAATCCCATTTACCACTGTGGCAAAAAAATTAAGATACCTAGAAATAAATTTAACCAAAGTAATAAAGGACCTATTTGTAGAAAACTACAGGTCATTGAAAAAAAGAAATAGAGGAAGATATAAAAAAAGTGGAAGCACATACCCTGTTCATGGATTGGGAGAATTAACATCATTAAAATGTCCATATTACCCAAAGCAATCTATAAATTCAATGGAATCCCCATCAAAATACCAACGGCATACTTTACAGAATTAGAACAAGTACTTCAAAAGTTCATATGGAATCAAAAAAGACCCCGAATAGCCACAGCAATCTTGAAAAGGAAGAACAAAGTTGGAGGGATCACATTACCAAATTTCAGGTTATACTACAAAGCCACCGTAATCAAAACAGCCTGGTACTGGCACAAGAACAGGTATATAGACAAGTGGAACAGAAAAGAGAACCCAGAAATGAACCCAAGATAATATGCTCAATTAATATTTGACAAAGGTGGCAAGAGCGTACAGTGGAGTAAGGACAGCCTCTTTAATAAATGGTGCTGGGAAAATTGGACAGCTACATGCAGAAAAATAAAACTAGACTATCAACTTACACCATACACAAGAATAAACTCAAAATGGAGAAAAGATTTAAATGTGACTCATGAATCCATAAAAATCCTAGAAGAAACTGTAGGCAACAAAATTTTCAGACATCTTACACAGCAGAATTTTCACTGATACATCACCTAAGGCAATAGAAACAAAGGAGAAAATGAACACATGGGACTACATCAAACTCAAAAGCTTCTGCACAGTGAAAGATACAATCATCAAAACGAAAAGGCTACCCACTGTATGGGAGAGCATAACTGCCAATGATATATCAGATAAGGGGTTAATTTTCAATATATATAGAGTGCTCATACAACTTCACAAAAGGAAGACAAAGAACCCAATTAAAAAATGGGCAGAGGAACTAAGTAGACACCTCTCCAAACAGGACATACAAATGGCTAAGAGACATGTGAAGAAATGCTCAACATCACTAATCATCTGAGAGATGAAAATTAAAACAACAATGAGGTATCACCTCACACCTGTCAGAATGGCCGCCATCAACAAATCATCAAACAACAAGTGGTTGGCGAGGGTGTGGGGAAAAGGGAACTCTAGGACACTGCTGATGAGAATGCAGACTAGTGCAGCCACTATGGAAAACAATATGGTGTTACATCAAACAATTAAAAATTGAACTTTCATTTGATCCAGTGATTCCACTTCTTGGAATATACCCTAAGAAGACTGAAACACCAATCAGGAAGAATATATGCACCCCCATGTTTGTAGCAGCACTATTTACAATAGCTAAGATCTGGAAACAGCCCAGGTGTCCATCAGTAGACGAATGGATAAAAAAAGCTGTGGTACATATACACAATGGAGTACTACGCAGCTGTAAGAAAGAAAGATCTCTTATCCTTTGAGACTACATGTAGGGACCTGGAAAGTATTATCCTAAGTGAAACAAGCCAAACAGAGAAAGACAAGTATCATATGATCTCACTTATTTGTGGAATATAATGATCATAACAGTCTGAGGAATGGGGTAGTCCCAGAGACGTGGAAGTGGGGTACAGACTGACCATCCCCAGAAGAGGGGGTGGTGGGGGAGAGATAAACCACAAAACTTATATGCATGTATGCATGAACAGTGGACATGGACAACAAACTGGGGACAGGGCAGGGAGGGGGGAGGGGGGAATCAGTGGGGGGAAAAGGAGAAACATCTGTAACAAAAATTAATTAAAAAAATAATAATAAAATCATTTGTCTTATTTGGGGCATATTTTTATTTTTTCCTATAAGATCTTACCTAAGGGGCAAGGAGCTGGTGGTCCAGAGAGCAGCAAATGTATCTCTAAATGTACTGACATTTGTTTAATGGAAACTTGGACAAAATGGGAGAACAGCAGGACTACTCACACATCTTGTGTTATTCTAGCCTGGAAGGAGTTCTTCTCCTGCCCAAATAACTCTGTGGAGGTAGGCATGGCAGGACTTTCCCAGTTTGAGCACTGAAAGTCTCACATTCCAGGAAACTTCTTAGCCACAGGCAAACATGTTGGTTATTTACCCCATCTGTAGGTGATGTGAGAAAATAGCAGACAGCACCCTGAAGTCAGTCTCCACTAAGTTGTCATTTGCATATTACCACATTTTTACTTCCTTTTCTGCTGAGGAGAAATCCTCTTTTGTCAAGAAAAACATTACCTTCATTGGATAAGTCTTGAAACAAGAAATTCAGGATCTGGTTGTGTCCCAAGAACCAGGAAAATATCCATGAAGAGCCCCTGAAAAGGAGGGTCTTTCCATATCTCTACCAGCAAACAGTACATGCCCTACTCAAGCTCCCACCCCAAGTGTAGGCAGACTTACACTTTACTCTGGGCATATGACCACTTAGGGTGGTGATTTGACCCGCTAAAATCTGCCTTGCACTTGGATGTCTATATATTAATCATTGGTGAAGCATTCTGGGTACATACAGACCCTATGTATCAGTACTAAAAACATAAAATAAAATCAGACAAAAACTCAAACTCACCAATCACCTAAATGTTTGGCACTGTGTTGACAAACCTGAAGATGTTTGTACTGAGATCCCCAATGCTGTCCTCTCTCACTCTTCCTTCATTTGGTTAACTCAAACACCTCCTTCAGATCCCAGCATAAGTTTCACTTCATCTGAGAAGACTTCCCAGATCTGTCACTGTTGACCACATACACACTCACATAGTACCAGGCACTCTCCTTTTACAACATCTTCACATCATCATCCAATTACCCACTCATTTGTCCTGATAGTTTCAATGGACAGGGCTGTGTCTGCCCTGTTCACAGTTCTACCCCTAGCACCTAGCACACAAGTCCTAACACATCACAGGTATACATTTAATAGCTCTGGAGTGAACACTCAGTGGCCTGTATTCAATTCAACCAAATGTTCTTGACCTAACTTACAAGTGCCTGTCATGTTAAACTTATCAAGAAACCAGATATGCCCTGGCCAGTTTGGCTTAGCAGTTAGAGCATTGGCCCACACACCAAAGAGTTGCGGGTTTGATTCCAGGCAAGGGCACATACCTCCGTTGCGATTTGATCTCCAGCCCTAGTTGGGATCATGCAAGAGGCAACCAATTGATGTGTCTCTCTCACATCAATATTTCTCTCTCTCTTCCTCTCTCCCTTCCTCCCTCCCTCCCACCTTCCTACTCTGTCAGGAAAGGAAAAATATCCTCCAGTGAGGATTGAAAAAAAAAAAGAAGAAACCAGATATTTTTATTCTTACTGGATGTTTGTCTCTGTACTTCTGGAAAAAAATAAAAGGAAAAGTGAATGAATAACTAGATTGATCCTAATTGACTATCACAGAACTCTGAAGTATTCAGACTATGTGTTATTATTTCATTTTATAAATGAGAAAAATTAATTGAGAGCTGAAATGTGAGAAAAGAAGAGGTGAGGATATCCTCTGGCTGCCATCAGAAGGCCAGGCACAGCTGCGGACAGAGCATGGGCGTGCTCAACTACTGGCTCTGTTAGAAATCCAGAGGCAGACAACACATGATCTCCAGCAGACTGAATGGGAAAAGTCGAGCTAGGTCTCATCAACAGCATTTGTAGGGATGTCCTTCTATTTTACCTCTTGCCCTCTTATTACTTATCCTCAGGGCTGCCAGGAAGCCAAACAGAATGCAGAGCAGCTGAATTTAAAATATTTTTATGCCATTATTTTATCTAGTATAATAAATTAAAAGCATATAGGTTTGGTTTTAAACTAATACACTGGGATTTAGGATTAGAGATTTTGTTCTCTCTCTTGATTGGACTTTTGTTTTAAAAACATCAGTTGCATTCAAGGTTGAGTAAACAATAAATATTTTATTTTAGTTAAGTGTTCAGTAAATTAGCATGGTTCACTCCCTTATCAGTTCACAGCTCTCTTCATTCCTAGTCCCAAAAGAAAACACAATTAGCTGCCCACCACATCACGTTGGCCCCAGGCTGGAACACCTCGGGTGTTACACACATGTGGCAGCACCTGACCACTGGTGGGAAGGGTGACATGGAGATCTTTGCATAAATCTAGCTCAGGCTACCAAAGGGCTCGCAGACTCCCCAGATGCTGGCTGGTGGAAAAGCACACCACGTAGCACTTGTTTCGGGAAGATAAACAAAGCAGGATGAATGGGAGGTAGGAAGCTTGTCCCAAGGTATTCACTACATTAGACAATGCAGAAAAATGTTGGCTTACTATCCCAAGTTTCTACCTGCCAAGTCAGCTCTGGCACAAGACCACCAGAGTTCTCTTTTCATCATCTTTTAAGAGGCTCAACACGTGGAAAATAAGTGATGATATGCTGATACAGAGAAACTTCATCCTAGTAACCCCTTAGGAGACCTCCTTCCCCCGGGAGCCTTTCCTGATCACCAAGGCAGAGCTCGGGGTGAGTCCTGTCCCTGTGTATAAAGAGCAGCACTTAGCTTTCTATTTTATAAATTGCATGTTGCCATATTTCCTCCCCAACTGGACTGTGAACTTGGGGGCAGAGGTTTGCCTTAGTTACCTTTCTGTTCAAGCACCAGCTCCTAGCAAGAACCTTATGCATACCCTGGGTTCAATGACCTGTATTTAGATCCTACCTACATATAAACATCCTGTACTCAATAAACATTTGTTGAACTAAACCAAGAATGGTTATGTCTAGCACAGAGAACATGGTTTTTCAGGGACCTAGAAACCAAATAATTTGAAAACAAATCTTTATCCTTGTCTTAATCATGGGGTTTATATTCACATAGTTTTGGGGTTTTCATGGCTTTCTTCTTCCTTTTACTGCTGATCATGCCATTGCCCTGCACCATCTAGAGTGTAGGCCATGGGTATTTGATTGTCATGGGTTTGTTAATACATCTACACTCAGAACTGACATACTTTCTGATGTCACTGGTAAGGAGAAGCCATGTGGCAGGGCCTCAGATATCAAGAGCATTCACAGGACCTCCCTATTTCATTTTCTTCTCCCAAGGAAAGAGTCGTAATCATAATGAAGTATGTGAATTCAAGAGCCCACTTGCACAGTGTACTTACTCAGACTGAGTGTGGTGATCCAGGGGCCAGCCACTGGCCTGGAGTAGGGCTAGGATGTGTCCTCATTCTCCACTTGGCATATCTTTCACTGCTTACAGCAATTTTAGGCAAAACCTAAACAGCAAGGATAAAACTCACATTATTGGCAAACTTCATTTTTATGTCACCCTCATTCATCACTTATTTATATATTTAACAAATGTTTATTGAGCACCAACTAGGTGCTATGCTAAATGCCATATGGATACTAACGTGAAATAAAAGAGGGTTCCTCACCAAGGTGCCTACAGGACAAGTTTGCATAGAAAGAACTGATAAAATCATGGGATTCACATGGAAAAATAAGGGCAAGAACATTCTTGAGAAAGAAATGTGTACAAAGGGTGGGAAGAGAAAGAGAAATCTTAGAAGGAGTAGTGGGACATATGGAAAGAAGAGGAGAATACCTACTGTGAACAATCCACTGGGGCCCAGCTTTGTTCATTTATTCCACGATCTTTGTGCTGGGTTCAAGACCACAGGAGATGAAGCAGGGCCATGACTCCAAGAGCCACAAGGAGCTACAGGCCAGATGAGAAGCAACTAGCAACTAGCTGCCCAGGACCAGCCCTGCTAATCAAGGGCCAATGTCTTGCAGAGGATAGAAAAATTAGCCCAATATTCAGTGGCTTATGCTAGCTTACCTGGAGATTGCTTATAAGTACTTTAACTAGGTTACTCAGTAACATGGTTTACCCTACATTAGCTAAAGCCCAGGCTATGTTCAACAGGTGTTCAATTTGTTACCATGACTCTAATAGATCAAAACTCATAAACCCTTCCAAACATACTTCCCACACTCTCTCTCTATTTGTCTCCAATACCACACCTCCAAAAAACTGATCAGCCTTTCCTTCCTAATTAAAAGTATATGTCTAACTTGACCAGTGCATGTTACTCACACAGGTAATTTGTCTCATTACCCAGACCATGGTGAGCAACATGGTTTGTTAAGGCCAGTTCACATACTTAGGCAGTGGTTTTCAACCTGTGTTGCGACCCTTTTGGGGGTTGAATGACCCTTTCACAGGGGTTGTCTAAGACTATTGGAAAACATGTATTTCTGATGGCGATTTATAACAGTAGCAAAATGACAGTTATGAAGTAGCAACAAAAATAATTTTATGGTTGGGGATCACCACAACATGCAGAACTGTATTAAAGGGTTGTAGCATTAGGAAGGTTGAGAACCACTGTTGAGGGCTCGCAGAATGCCATTCTGCCTCCACAGGCTATTCACATCCCACATTTGAAATGCAGCTTTGATCCCTTCTGTGACAGTTTTCTGCACGGGTGTTGAATTCAGTTAAAAGTGAAAGAATAAATGAGACTAATGAGATCCAAGAGGGGAGACCCAGGACATCAAAAGCATTCGAAGGAGAGAAGATAGAATAATCAGCCTTCATAAAACTCCACCAAATGGCTTTGAACCATTCCTTGGGCAACCAAAGATGCTTTGTGCCACATTTTTCTCATTTCTGAATAATGGCCAGGAGTTTTTAATTAGGATCATCTATCCCGTTTAACCTCCTTTGATGGAAATCATTGAAAGTACTACCTGGTTTCTTTCTCCTGAGTTTCAAGTATTCAAAATATGTCACATTTGTTCATTCTCATACAGGAATTCATAGTCAAATTTTCTTCACTTTACATCATGTCAAAATTTAAACATTAAAAGAAAAAGGAAAGCTAACTGAAGGACAAATGATAGTAGCAATGCCGAGAGATCAGGAGAACGGTAGGGATGAGACTTGAGGTCTGCCTGTGTAACCTAAGGTACAACCATGTCACACACGCATTAACTGAACTCCAAGCCAAGACAGCTGTGAGTCACTGTGAAGGCCTTCAGTTTCTGGGGCACTCACTGAGTTGGATTCCTGAGCAAACAAAGAGCTGTTGTGTTTCATATTTTTGTTGGACACCCAAGTGTCTTTGAAAAAGGATGAGTATCTACTAGTAGATTAACATTAAGAAATAAGATTAGGGAGAGGGAAAAACAAGAGAGGCTGTGTAATGGCAGTTCTTCAGTCGTTCAAAAGCTCAGCCTAACAAACTATGGGCCACTGAGCGACTCCTGCTCCCTCCTACAACATTAACAGTCCTGGAGCAGAAGGGAGACATGTGCGCTGGCACCAGGAGAGCCTCCGAGGCTGGGGCTGCAGGGAGGCCCTGCTCTGCCCCAGAGTGTTGACCCACCCTCCAGCCCTGCCCCTTCCAGCATTGCTCAACCCAGTCAAGCCTGTTCAACAGATTCTTTCTGAAATAGTCTCTTTGATGCAGCTTCATTCTGTGTCCAGTGACATGAAAGAGATACTGATGCTGATTATCAAAGGCATGTGCGCCAACACCGAGCAGCGAATGCCTGAGGGATGTAACTTTATCTCTTCCTCTGACTTCAACATCCTCCCTCGGCTGTGCAGGGCTCAGGGTCGGGTGGTTAGTAGCACATCTTATTTTCCCTACTAATTTCACAGCAGATATTAATCTGAGTAGGGGGAACATGAATTAATACCACAAGCTTGTAGGTCACACTCAAGTAAACACGCGCCATGGAACTAAACACCATGGATGCTGAGAGAGGGATGGCACTCAGGTCTCCCACGGGGGTAGGTTTGACTGCAGGATCCTCTCAGCATCGAGGCCTCTCTCCAGAGTCCATCATGTGGAGAGTGCCCATTATGTCATCCCATGGAACTGTGGGCCGAGCATCTCCTTGGAATAGAAGATCTGGCACCTTTCTGTACTGGGCTAATTCTTTTCTTTTCTAGATATTCAAGATATGAAATGTCTGACCGTGGGGGTATTAGATAAATCTGCAATAGTATACAACCATTAAAAATAACATTCAGAAGAATATTCCATAACAGACAAAAATACACATCCTATATCACTAAAGGAAACAATGGAGTACAAAACGGTATGTGCAGAATGATTTTAGTTTTATAAAAATAAAATACAGTAAACAGAGGAGCATGTGTTTCTGTCCGCACAAAAGAAAGTCTGAGAGGAGTTCTACCAAACCGGCAACAAAGGTATGACTGAGTATGGGACACATATGGCTTGCTTTCAGTCTTCCTTTGCTTGTGTATACTTTTTAATTTGTCCACAAAGTGCATTATTTCCTTAAGCTATACAAGTTTAGGATTTGACTGACTAATGCATAGTAAGGAAAAAAAAACCTGTCCTTTTAAAGAAACTGTCTGTAGAACATTAGAACATGGTGACAGACAAATGGATAAGTTTTAATTGCTTTTTATGCTTTTTTTTTTAAAGAGCCAATAATATAACACACTTTTTCACGTGTGCTAATTAGACCTGCTGAATCACCTACCTCTTGGCACCAGAAGCCAGCAGAATAGAAATCTCAAATTCATTGTGAAAATCAGGAGGCCAAAATTGTTCCCACTCTCTATCCCAGGCTCTTCACAGAGGAATGCATGAGGACCACACACCTTTGTGGTTCTGGGATTAAATGAGGTAATGAAGGGAAACTGTCAATCAAATCTCACCATATAAGAGTGGTTCCTGGTTCTATCGTCAGCTGTGTGGTATCTGGGAATGATTGTCACACCTGACCCACACCAGCCTAACCTTCTATCTACCATGAACCTCTTCTGTTGAGGCAGGTGTGAGTTTCAAACTTGAGTAGAAGGAAGTCAGATGCCCCTCTTCTATGGTCTCAATGAAGACAGTTGGGCCATTGAAGATTCTGAGGGGCCTGAGAACTCATTTAACAGCAGAAGGACACAGGAAGGAGAAACCCAGGAAAGACTAAGAACAAAGAGAGTTAATAAATAGATGAGGGTCTTCAGTATCTGGCCCATTGAAGTCATCATTACAATGAACAGGATGAAAAATAAAATATTTATTAAATAACATGAGAGTCAAAATTCTACTGGAATTTCTTGCCATCTAGAAACACATGCACACATTCAAGGACACCCACACTATTTTCCTCTTCAACAACTTGTTGGGAAGGCTATTCACTGTCAGCCGTGATGCCCCCTGGGCTTTCCAGCATTAAATGTATCAGCAGGCCCAAAGACTAAAGGCCATCGAGGCAGCCAGCTCCATGAGTCTGATGTCCCACTAACAGATTTACTGCAAAGGGAATGAATATTGCAAAGAGTACTTTTCTCATCCTCACTAAACTAATATTCGGTCTCAGGCCCTTGGAACAAAACACAGCCTCAGTATCTGTCGAGCAGCCTTGTGCATAAAAAAATAGTCAAGCATAGAATTGGAGCCTAACAAAAAAGGAGGAAACTGTGAATTTCTCTTTCGTTTAGCCTTAAAAATAATGCTTCCACCCTGGCCAGTTTGGCTCAGCAGTTAGAGTGTTGGCCTACAGACCAAAGGGTCGCAGGTTCAATTCCCAGTCAAGGGCATGTACTTGGGTTGCAGGTTCAATGCCCACTGGGGCAGTGCAGGAGACAACCAATCAATGTGTCTCTCTCACATCAATGCCTCTCTCTCACACTCTCTCCCCCTCTCCCTCCCTTCCACTCTATCTAAAAATTAATGGGAAAATATCCTTGGGTGAGGATTAACAAATAATAATAACTCTTTCTAACCCCAGCTGAACATGACCAGAGCCCAGAGCCTGTCCTCACCTCACAAACAGTGGCTCTACCTACCACCCACACCCTTTGCTCTGAGCAGGGTCTAGCCAGAGCAGAGATCCCCTCCCCTCTCATAATCTGAGGGTTCTGCCTACCTTCCCTAAACGCATGGTTTACAACTGTGACTCACTGAGCCAGCAGAGGCCAAGCCTCACAGTGCTCAGGCCAGTCCCTCCTGCAGGCACCCCCTTTCCTTCTGCCCTGAGGCTCCGGTGGACATCTGCTACCTTCTACTGCCCCCAAGTGGCCAACAGCAGAGGCCCAATGGCTGGGGGCGGGGGCAAGCTTTCAAGTACAGGTGTTGTCCCTTCAGCTATTTACTTGCCCTTAGGAGGTCCATATCTCAGTGGATGTTGGCTAAGTCACACACTTGCATGCATGCAGCCAAGGGCTCAGCTCCTGTGATTCTTCATGAGAAGAACAGAAATTTTCCACCTATTCAGAGGAGTGG